TGTTGACTAAAAATATTGAATGGCATAGAAATATAAGTATTATTTTTAAAATTTCAAAGAATTTATCATAGGTCAGTTTGGGCCAAGTATTAATATTTTGTTTAGTCTAAATATAGAGGGAATAGCAAGACCTCATCTCAACCAATAAGCTGGGTGTGGTGATGCACACCTTCATCCCAGCTATGTGGGAGGCATATATAGGAGGACCAAGGTCCAGGCTGGGCCAGGCAAAAACATTAGACCCTATCTGAAAAATAACTAAAGCAAAAAGGGCTGGAAATGTGACTCAAGTGATAGAGCAAACACAAGACCCTGAGTTTAAGTCCCAGTACCACCAAAAAAATTCAAATAAATAAAACATATAGAGGTAAGCTTTTCTTATTATAGTAAAAGAATTTTAGCTCTTTCAGTTTCAAGCATATTTCTCCTTAGTTTCTCTAAAATTATTAAAATCATGTGATAGTTACAATCATTTAGAATCCCCTGGATTCTAGGAATTGTACTAGATTTTGAAAAATCAAGAAAAGATGAAGCATGGGATTTTTCCTTTAGCTTACAAAGGTAATCTAGGGATGTTAGAGGTAATCATCATACAGTGTAGTGTGTCAGTAGAGCTTAAGAATAAACTGCTATAATAGCACAGGTAAAGTTGTGTCAGAGGAGATTAAATTTGTCCAGGCCTTAAGGAACGAATAGTAGGTTTCCACATGGTGATGGTATGTAAGGACATTTGAGACAGAAGAAATGTGTTAGGTAAGACACAGGAATGTTGAAGGATAATGTCTGTCGGGGAAAGAAGAAAGACTTCTGAGGCTGGGCCACAAGAAAAGAATGTTGTAACAGATGAAGGATAACTTAGGGTCCAGATTTGAAAGCTCTAATATTTCATAGTATTTTTATTGCATTATCTTACAGATAAGAAGAACCATCACATATTTAAAAAATAATAGTGATTAAAAAAATTTCCTTTGCAATTAATTATTTTTTTAAAGCAAGTTTTACATTTGGAATAGGAAGGAATAAAGGCAGAAAATCCAGTTACAAACCAGTGGCAGGATGGTGAAAGCTAGAATAACTTGATGAACAATTTGAGGACAGATGTTTAAGGTAGAATTTATGGGATGTGTGCAAATGGAGAATGTCAACAATGAAACTGAAATTATTGGACAGGGTAACACAAAAATTAAACTTTTGTGGATTTAGTGAAAGCCAATGCCATGTGTACAACTAAGGTGTATGTCTGTATTTGAGTATGAATCAGTTAATTATGTAGGCAAGGTTAAAAATTTAGGTTAAACATTATGGAACACTGAAAAATTAAAGATAAAATAGTAGAGGAACTCACCATTGTAAAACTGATCACTCCTGTAATTCTAGCTACTCAAGAAGGAGAGATCAGGAGGATCATGATCCAAGGCAAATAGTTCATGAGATCCTATCTTGAAAAACCTTTCACAAAAATAGGGCTGGTAGAGTGGCTCAAAGTGAAGGCCCTGCGTTCAAGCCCCAGTACTGCCCCCTGCCCAAAAAAGAAAAAAAAAAAAACTGATCACATAGACTCAAAGAATATTAACACTGGAAGAGTCTTTCATGGTCATCTGTTGCGTTTCATTTTTAAAGGAATCTTTTAAAAACAAAATAGTGAGATGTTATTTTTAGATTAAGCAGTTGAGAAAATACAAGAAAAAAGCAATTAAAAACATTGTTCAGTGTTCTATTTAATCCCAGAACCATCTATGTGTATTTGAAAATAGTAGCACACATATGTGTGATACATTTAGTGTACAGCATATAATAATGGTGGTTAAGGTTCAAACTCTGAAGTTGGAACCTAATTTGAATCCATTGCTTGCTAACTTGTAACTTTGTACAAGTTACTGCCCATCTGTGCTTTATTTTTCATACCTATAAAATGTGACTAAAAATAGTACCTGCCTTGTAGATAGATCTCTCATATGGATTATAAATGAGTTAATTTATGTAGAGTCTAGGATAATATCTAGTACATTTGTAGGAGCCCTTTAAAGTGTTCACTGTTATGATGATGGTGCTGTCTGGTATAATCCATACAGTAATTCAGAGACTTTATGGTAAGTTTTTATTCTAACATTCTTAGATTTTGTTTTTGTTTTTGTCTTTTTATGGAATTGGGGTTTGAACTCAGGACTTCATGCTTACAAAGCAGGCGCTTTACTGCTTGAGCCACACCTTCAGTCCATTTCGCTCTGGTTATTTTGGAGATGGGGGTCTCAAGAACTATTTGCCTGAGTTGGCCTCAAACTCCTCCTAATCTCAGTTTCCCAATTAGGATTACAGGTGTGAGCCACGGGTGCCCAGCAAAGCTTCTTTTTACATGTAACAACACACAGGACTCTCTAAAATGTTACAGTAGCTCTAAAAAGCCAGATACAGTAGATGGTTTATTATATGATTCCATTCATGTGAAAAAAAAAAGAAAGACTTTTTTTTTTTTTATTGAACTCAGGGCCTTTCACTTGCTAGTCAAGCACTCTACCACTTAGCCATGCCCTGGGTCCCATTTATGTGAAATTTGTACAAATACAAAACCTATAGCAATAAAGAAGCAGATCATTAGTTGTATCAGGCATGAGAGGAAGACACTGACTGCAAAAGAATACAAGGAACTTTTGGAGTGATGGAAGTCTTCTGAGACTTACTTATGATGGTTGCACAATTATATAATCCTGGGGTTTGAATTCAGGGCCTCGAGCTTGCTAGACAGGTGCTCTACCACCTGAGCCACTCCACCAGCCCCCTCTGCTATGGTTATTTTTGAGATAGGGTTTTGCTTTATACTTAGCCAGCCTGGACTGTGATCCTCCTATTGGTGCTTTCCTACATAGCTGGGGATAAAAGGTATGAGCTACCATGCCCAATTTACTAAGTTTAGTGAAATATAAATGGCTATATAACCTATACCTCTGTAAAGTTGTTTAAAATAATTATTTGCCAATGTTGAAAACATTATCTTAAGTTAAAGAAACCAATCAGATAAAAACTACATATAAAATGTCCAGAATAGACAAATCCATAGAGATAAGTAGATTGTTGTTTGGGGCAGGGGAGGAATTGGGGTTTGTGGAAGAAGGTAGTAAAGATAGAAGTTGAGGGGTGACTTGCTAATGGGTATACGGTTTCTTTTTTGGGTTGATAGAAATGTTGCAAAATAGCTTGAAATTGGGCTGGGGATATAGCTCAGTGGTTTAGTGTTTGCCTTGCATGCCTGAGGCCCTGAGTTCAATCCCCAATACCACAAAAAAAAAAGCTTGAACTGATGATTGCACAACTCCTTGAATAACTAAAGCCATTGGATAGGTGAATTCAGGGCTTGGGGAGTGGCTCAAGTGGTAGTAACTTGCCTAAGAAGTGGGAAGCCCTGAGTTCAAACCCTAATACTGCCAAAAAAATTCAATAGGTGAATTGTATGATGTGTGAATTATCTCAGTAATTCAATTATTTCAATGAAGAAAGTAAACACAATTAATACACTGTTTTTAAGTGAGAATTGGGAATAGAGCAAGTAGGTGATGGTTGTTGTGGTCAGGAACACTACACTGGGAAGATCACAGTTGTGCAAAGCCTTGAAAAAGATGAGGGACTGGGTACCTAAGAAAGAAGTTTCTAAAGAAGGGCTAAACAATGGAAGAGCCTGAGAGGGTACATATCTGTGGTGTTTGAGGAGCAGCAAAGCAGTCAGTGTGAGTGAAAAAAGACTAACCAAGGGAGGAAGCAAACAATAAGAAATGAAATTGGGAGATCAGATCATATGGCCCCTTATAAGGAGTTTGGTTTTTGTGGTAAGATGGAGAGTCAGTGCAAGGTTTGAGTAGAGAAATGATATGATTTGGCACAGGTGTTTTGTTTGTTTTGCTTTATATTTCATTTTTTGAAAAACATGTTTTGCTAGAGGCTCAGGTAGTAGAGTGATTGCCTAGCATGCGTACAACCCCGTAGTTCAAACCCCAGTATCACAAAAGAATTACTTGTATATAATATTATAATTATGTATAATATACATATGTATAGAGTACAATGTGACATTTTAGTATGTATATATAATGTGCAATGATCAGATCAGGGTAATTGGCATATCTGTCAGCTCAAGCATACATCATTTCTTTGTGTTAAGAACATTCTAAACCCTCTCTACTGGTTATTTTGAAATATTCAGCTAATTGTTGTCAGCCATAGTTACCCTACTGTGCTATAGAACATTAGCAGTCATTCCTCCTGTCAAGCTGCACCATGTTGTCCCTCCCCAACACTTCCTCTCCCTACCTTCTCAGGTTCTTGTAACCAGTATTCTATTACGAGGCCACCTTTTTCACTTCCACATATAGTGAGAACATGTGATAATTGACATATGTTTTTAGTAGGTTAAGGTGCTGAAAATACTTGGAAAGAGCATGAGTGCATGCAGTGTTAGCTACTAGTTGAAAGGCAACAGTCCAGGAGAAAGGTAAAAGTGACTTGCACAAGCATTGAAAAAAAATGTGGTCCATTTCTGAATACCATTTGAAGGATTTGCTGACAGGTTAGAGATGAGATGTAAGAGAAAGAATCTAAGAAGATGCCATGTGTTTTGACCAGAAAAACTGAGACAGGGAAAACTGAGGTTAAAGCAGATGTAGGGGGAATTTGCTGACATTAGAGATGAGATGTAAGAGAAAGCAAAGAATCTAAGAAGATGCCATGTGTTTTGACCAGAAAAACTGAACAGGGAAGATTGAGGTTAAAGCAGATGTAGGGGGAAATGGCAGGAGTTCTGTTTTCAACATGTTAGAGAAACCCATCAAACACCCTAGTGCAGATTTGAGTAAGCAAATTGAATATTTAAATCTGGGAGAGGTCATTAAGTGAAGATTGCTTTAGTCCAACAATGTACTTAATAAAATAAGATTTTGTTTTCCCTTAAGATAGATTTAAAAATTCCCCCTGCCCCCAAAGAGAACAAATACGTTAATTTTCTTATATTTCAGGATCTTCAAGATGAAGTTCAAAGGGAGAATGTTAATCTGCAGAAACTACAGGCCCAGAAGCAGCAAGTACAGGAACTTCTTGATGAATTGGATGAACAAAAAGCCCAACTGGAGGAACAACTCAAGGAAGTCAGAAAGAAATGTGCTGAGGAGGCCCAGCTGGTAAAGGCTACTTGTATCTGTACCTTCATTGTTTTTCCTACTTGTTGTTATTGTTAGGTGGCAATCTAGTCAGCAGTTGGTACATGAGGTAGATAAAGTTCATCAGAAATTACAGGTTCTTTTTAGTGAAAGGGCGTTATTTTAGAAGGGCAAACTTTTTTTAAAATTGTGATTGAAAGTATGGTGTCTGTGCCTTCAACTCTGCTCTAGCCCTCCCCAAATTACCCTTCACTACCAAAATATTTATCAAAAATACCAAAATAGAAACTAACTAAATGTATTGCATGTATTGCACTATGGGACATTTTAGTGACATTTCTTCTTTTAATCCTCCTTTCTTCTCATTCACCTCCATATTATAGATCTCTTCTCTAAAAGCTGAAATAACTAGTCAAGAGTCACAGATTTCCACTTACGAGGAAGAGCTGGCCAAAGCTAGGGAAGAGCTGAGCCGCCTACAACAAGAAACTGCAGAATTAGAGGAGAGTGTGGAGTCAGGGAAGGCTCAGCTGGAACCTCTTCAACAGCACCTACAAGATTCACAACAGGAAATCAGTTCAGTAAGTGAAGCAAGAAGTATGCTGAAATGGACCCTCATCTGTCCTCTTAGTCAATAATACTTTAACTTCTGCTCCTTCTTTGCCTAGTTTATTAATCATGTTTTTCAGTCATTTTATACAGATAAGTGTATTGTAGCCAGTACCACACATTTTGTACATCTGTTGATCATTAGAGTAGTGGATAATAGTGTGGGCATTAGTTAAGTGGACTAGGTTTAAATGCTGACTCTGCCATTTACTAGGTGAATCACCTGTGTCAGATTCTTGATGTTTAAAACGGGAGAATTAATAATACCCCTATCTCTGAGGGATACTATGAGAATTAAATGAGGCAAAATTTATGAGATATTTTAGCACAGTATTTAGTACATAAATAGTAAGTGTTGCTTATTTTTATAAGTAATAACTTACTGTCTTCTCTTGTGGTTCTAATTTGAAATTAATTTTGCTTATTTAGAAACCTTTATTTTTTAAAATTAGGAAATTATTCCCTCTAGATACATGTGGACTCTTATGGTTGATCCCATGTATAGATTCTTTACTTTTTCATTTCTAGGCTTCTCTACATGGAGAATAACATATTATGGAATGATATGAGATGGTTACATAGGAGCATAGAGTTCATGTAATACCTTATTTTGAATTTGAGCATATTTTTATGTTGCATGTATTTCTTACAATAAATTCTATTTTGTATTTCTACTTTCTGTTGACAGATGCAAATGAGACTGATGGAAATGAAAGATCTGGAAAATCATAATAACGAATCAAATTGGTGCAGTGGCCCACACAGCATCCTTGTAAATGGTGCTACAGATTATTGTAACCTCAGCACCAGCAGCAGTGAAACAGCCAACCTTAATGAACATGTTGAAGGCCAGAACAATCTAGACTCTGAGCCCATACACCAGGAGTCTCCAGTGAGTCTGATGTTCCAAAACCATCATAATTGACTTTAGGAAAAAAGATATAGGTCAAAGTTTTGTTGCCATCATATGTAATATAAATATGTTATCATGCCTCATTTAAGGACGATTGAGATTGATTAATTTTTTTAAAGACAGAGTGAGTAATTTACTCATCCAGTAAATCTAACAGTTTTAGCTAGTGTTAAAATGTAATTTTACTGATTTATTTTTTATAGAGCAAGTTTAAAAAACATCACTTATGCTGGCATGGTGGCAAACACTTGTAATCTCAGCACTTGGGAGGCTGAGGCCAAGAGGATTTGTGAGTTCTAGGCTAGCCTGTGCTACATAGACTCTGTCTCAAAACAAAATACAGCAGCAACAAAAAGATAATATGATTAAATTTACCTTTTAAAAATGTGGGATGGTTAGAGGCTCTTAACTCTTAGATGTTAAGGTAGTCTATGTGAGTTGATTTAGCCCAAAAATTTAAGCAGTTACAGAAAGGATGATGAGAAGATGACAGTTTGAGAGGTATTAAGGATGCAGAATTTTCCAGGCTTCATTTTATTTAGACATTGTAGTCATTAGTATATTATTCTGTATTTTAAGCACAGAAGTCAAGTTACTAGGTTTCATTGAAACATATAAGGGTGATGTGAAATGGATATTGCCCTACTTTGTAAATCTCTTTATCTAATGATCTAAATCAAGAAAACAGTGGAAACCTTTGAAGAACTTGTAATCAGAAGAGTTATGATAAGATTCATATTTTAGATCTATTCATTTGGCTTCTATAAGAAAGGTAGGTTGGAAGGGTACATCTTAAAGGCAGGAAGTTGGAAGGCTACTAAAGCAATCTGGACTATTTCTCACAATAGTGACTGTGAGAATGGAGAAGAGGGGGAGAATTTGAGAAAGAAGTTAAGAGGTAGACTAAGCAAAATTTAGAGTCCTAATCTAGTGGTAGATGACCAAAAAGGAAGTAAAGATGACCTGACAGCTTTTGGCTTAAGTGACTTTGATGCTTGGTGACGCCATTTTTCTAAGAAACATTGTGGGAGAAGAAATCACTCTATGAATAAGTTCTACTTGTCTTTTGTTGTTATTTTAATAATTTTTAGTTTTCTTTTGTCAGTTTCCTCTGCCAAGTAGAAAAGGATATTGCTGAGCCAGGTGTGGTTGTGCATGCCTGTAATCCCAGCTACACAGGAGACTGAGGTAGCAGGATCATGGTCCAAGTCTGTTCCTAGGCAGAAACACAAGACTCCATTTGAAAAAAACAAACTAAAGCAAAAAGGGATAGAGGTGTGCTAAAAGTGGTTGAGCACTTTCCTAGCAAATATAAGGCCCTGAGTTCAAACTCCAGTACCTCCACAAAAAAAAAAAAAAAGCTATTGTTAGTCCATATAGCATTAGTATTTTATAGGCAGGATTGGGGGTATAGTTCAGTGGTAGAGTGCCTATCTAGCATGCACTGGGTTTGATCCCCAGCATCCAAACAAACAAATTACATATTTGTATGTATGCATGTGTATATATTTGCATATCATATATATATATTTTTTTTTTGGTAGGCAAGAAGTAGTCCTGAAATACCACCTTCTGATGTGACTGATGAAAATGAAGTAGTGACTGTTTGTCCCGAATTTGAGAATGACAGACATTCAAAAGAGGTAAAAATTTTATATTTAAATGTTCTTTTTGTTAATGTTTTAAATGTTCTTTATGATTGCAAAAATATTGATATTTCAAAGCATGTGTATCTTCTCAGTGTGGGTTATTTTATTTTTAAATGCTACCTTTTAAATTTTTGGTTCCTAAATATTTTCTTTTAATTACAAATTACTTTTAGGAAGATCCATTTAATGCAGAATCAAGTTCACTGACAGATCCAGTTGCAGATACAAACTTGGATTTTTTCCAGTCTGATCCTTTTGTTGGCAGTAAGTATCTTTGTTTTATATTACAAATTTAGCAAAAAGGCTTTTTAGTGTATAAATTATGTAAGAATTAGGGCTTTAGTTTTGAGAGTATATTTGTTACAAAAAATGTACAGGCAAGAAGAAGAGTTTATATTCTTAAATTTGCTAGTATTTATCCTCCATGGGCAACTGAGCTCTAGAATTAAGCCTTTGATTACACCTTATGAACCCCCAATTAAGAGTATGTTTCTTCTTAATAGTAGGGGACCAAAGGAAAGAGATGCTATAGACCAATAAGTAGAGATTGTACACCCTTAATTTAACCAGTAATTATTTACTAAAAATGCCAACACCAGGCTAGGCATGGTGTCAAGTACCTGTAATCCTTGTCCTTTGAGAATGAGGCAAGAGGATTGCGAATTCAAGGTAAGGTTGAGCTTCAGAGTGAGACTCTGTCTCAAAAAAAAACGAAATGCCTACACCATTTGTTAAAAGAGTGGAGGTATTGTAGAATCAGAAATCTGATTCCTTCCCCTTAAGTTACTCATGTTTTATTGAAGAAATACACTTTGGTAAAGTGTTTGATGCCCATGTAAACTATGTTAAATATCACAAAGGTCATGGCAGAAATGAGCCCAGATATTAGAACTTTTTTTTTTTATTATTGTTAAGTTTTGCTGAGATATATAAAGGGTCACAAGATATATAAGTTGCACATTTAAAGCAACTTAAAATGTACAGGGGCTAGGGGTGTGGTTCAGTGATAGAGCTCTTGCTTAGCGTGTTTAAGGCCTTGAGTTTGATCTTCAGACTGCATAAATAAATAACAAGTAAATGTTTAAAATGTACAATTTAATAGTTTAGTATATTCACTGTTTTATAATCATCACTATAATCTAATATTGGAACAATTTTTAATCACCCCATAGAGAAACTTTACACCCAGTAGCAGTCACTTTCCATTCCTTTACCTCCCAGATTAAGCAACCACTAATTAAAAAATGAGCAAAGAGATTTAAATAACCATTTGTCCAAAGTAGATATACAAATGACCAATAAACACATTAGAAAGATGTTCAACAACATTAATCAAATCCACAGTTAGATACTACTTCATATCTGCTAAGATGGCTATAATCCAAAGAATAACCTAAATAGGTGTTAGGATGTGGAGAAATTGCAACCCACATACACTGTGAATGTGAAATGGTTCAGTTTCTTTGGGAAACATTCTTATAGTTCCTCCATCAATTGAAAATAGAATTACCAGACCAGGTGCTGGTAGCTCATTCTTACAATCCTAGCTACTTGGGAGACTGAGATCAGCAGGATCAAGGTTCAAGGCCAGCTGGGGCAAATAGTTTGAGAGACTCCATCTCCAAAATAACTAGAGCAAGCCAGGTGCTGGTGGCTCACACCTGTAATCCTAGCTACGCAGGAGGCAGAGATCAGGAAGATCACAGTATACAAGCCAGTCCCCAGCAAATAGCTTGTGATACCCTGTCTTGAAAAGACCCAACACAAAAAAGAATTGGCAGAGTGGCTCAAGTGGTAGAGCACCTGCCTAGCAAGCATGAAGCCTTGAGTTCAAACCCCAGAACCACAACAAAATAAAAAATAACCAGAGCAAAATGGGCTGGAGATGTAGTTCAAACAGTAGAGCACCTGCTTTGCAAGCACAAAGCCCTGAGTCCAAACCCTAGTCCCACAAAAAATAAATAAATAGGTAGATAGATACATAAATAAAATGTAGAATTATCATTAATAATAATACACATCCAGGGAGTGTGACCTGATACACACCCAGGGAGAAGTGAAGACATATATCCATACAGAAACTTGTACATAAACCTTGAGCATCAAATCATTTTTCCTACTTTATATTGGGGTGTTTGACTTGTAAAAGCTTTTTATATATTCCAAATACAGTTCTCTTATCATATATATATGATTTGCGTATATCATATATTTGGCATTCTGTGTTGTCTTTTGTGTTCTTGATGTTATGCTATTAAGTACAAAGGTTTTTAATTTTGGTAAAGTTCAGTTTGTATCTTTTGTCTTCTGTCATTTGTGCATTTGGTGTCATATCTAAGAAACTATTACCTAAAGTAGCAAGATTTACTCCTGTTTTTCTTCTAAGAGCTTTATAGTTTTAGCTGTTAATTCTAAAGCTTTAGTAAGTTGGGATCTTATTGTTCCAGTATAATTTGTTGAAGAGATACCCTTTTCCCCATGTGTTCTTAATATCCTTGTCAAAAATCCAGTGACCAAAATACAAGGTTTACCTCTGGATTCTTCAATTCTATAGATTTTTTTTTTTCTCCATTGTACCTCATTATCTTCATTTCTAAAGTGGTAATACCCCCACTCAGTGTTACATTATACAAAAAAAAAGTATCTTTTGTTAGTAAAATTTTGCTGTTGTACTGCTCTTCCCCACTATGTGTAACTTCTTTTTGTGATCAAGGTATAGGTAGTTCTATTTCAAATTTGCTTCTTTTATGAGGTATATTGAGTTCAGCCTTTATTCTTTATTATTTTAAATATTTCATAAGATAGATGACATTCATAATTTTATTTACTTTGAAGTAGTTATTTAAAGTCACTTTGTTTGAAGAAACTTTGTCTTTGTTTTAAAATTGCCCTTTAAATAATAGTGCCACAACAATAAATAATACTGTTTTGATTTCTGCTTGATTTGATTTTATCACAGGTGATCCTTTCAAAGATGATCCTTTTGGAAAAATTGGTCAGTATATTATTGAGTTCTATCTTAGCCTTAATTCAATTCCGTTTAATTATAAGCTTATGTTGTATTTAGAAATGAGAAGTCACAAGTTGGGTAGTTATAGGAAATGAACTTCCTTTTTATTGACTTTTAAAACTATTGTAAAGCTTAGATGCTGTATGTGCCTGGCATTTTTAGAAAGAGTGGTAGAGTCTTGTGAATTTCCTTAATAAACTGTTAGCTTAACTCTTTTTAATTTGAGGTGCTGGGGATGGAACCCAGGACCTTATGCATGCTAGGCAAGTGCTCTACCACAGCTATACGCTCCAGCCCCAGCTTCATTTTTTAAAAAGTTATATCTTAATGTTGCTTTAAAAATCATGACTCTTAATTTCTCCTTATTAGCTAAAGGTTAGGTGAGCATAATGAATTCTGCATACTACTACAGGACTAGAATATAATTTTACTTTCCTAAGATGATAACCTATTCGTATTAATGGGGATAAGGAAACACTTTGAAGAGTTAGTAAATACTGGACTTTTTAAGGTCTCCTTTTCCTGAATTTTCATTAAAACAAAGAAAATCTTTTTTATCTCTTAGTTTTGCTTCCCAAACCTGTTTCAAAGTATTGGATATTAACCTTGAGATCAGAAAGAGGAATACATTTAAAAGTTTTTGTTGTTTTCTTTAGTTGTGATAAGCATAGGATAAGGGGACTTAAAATTGGATCCCTTAAAATTATATGGTAATTAAGAGTTGGGAGCCAGGTGCCTGGTGGCTCACACCTGTAATCCTAGCAACTCAGGAGGCAGAGATCAGGACAACCATAGTTCGAAGCCAGCCTCAGCAAATAGTTTGGGAGACTGTAGCTCAAAAAAAAAAACGTTCATAAAATGGACTGGTGGAGTGGCTCAAAGTGTAGGCCCTGAGTTCAAAACCCAGTACCACAAAAAAAAGAGTTGGGGTTTGTTATTTATTTTTGTGTGTGTGTGGTACTAGGGATTGAATTCAGGTCCTTGTGCTTGCTAGGCAAGCACTGTACCACCTGAGCCACACCCACAGTCCATTTTATACACTAATTAAGTGAATAAGTTTAGTAGATGAAAGGCCCTATATCTGGAATCTGAAATAAAAAGTTCCTAACTTAGATTCTGTAGGAATTCAAAATGTCTTTTAATTAAGACAAGGATAATGCCTTCAGGTGATAGGAAATGTAGACTAATGATTTTTCAGTCTCTTATATTTGTGCTTTGTTTTCTTAGATCCATTTGGTGGTGATCCTTTCAAAGGTTCAGATCCATTTGCATCTGACTGCTTCTTCAAGCAATCTACCGATCCTTTTGCTACTTCAAGTACTGATCCTTTCAGTGCATCCAGCAATAATAGTAATACATCAGTAAGTAGGAAGATTAAAAACTGTTACATCGAATGGATAACAAGTGTCCTAAGTGAATTTTTTGAACATATATAATAATAAAAATATGCTCTTTTTAGATGATGTCTAATGGGCCATATAAAAATTTCTGACTCATTCAAACCCACCTTGGTTGATTACCCACTAGAATTGACTAGAATAATTTAGTGTCCCAAAAGAAGGTCCATCCTTGCAAGGGATCAAATTTTATCCCATTGACTTTTAAAAATAAGTGATTAGAAATCTGTAAGCCAGTCATAAGTAAACTTTTCATAAATGTTTTTTATATTATTGAAGAAATGAAAATTAAAAGGAACAGCGCTAATATTTTGGAAGAATAAAATCATGTATATTACTTTATAGATACATCTGGAATGTTAATCGTTAAGTAATCTTGAGTACATACGTATCTATAACAATCACTATTTAGTAACCACATATTCTGATCCAGGTACTTCTGTGTGCTTTACATTTGTTTTCTTGTTTGTTTGGGTTTTTTTGTGGGGGGGCGGGGTGGAGCAGTTCTGGGAGTCAAACTCAGGGCCTCATCCTTGCTAGCCAAGCATGCTACCACTTGAGCCATGATCCCCAGCCCATTTTGCTTTTGGTTATTTTTGAGAGAGGGTCTTGCTTTATGCCTGGACCAGTCTGATCTGTGATCCTCTTATTTATGCTTCCCCACTTAGCTGGGGATGACAGGGGCGCCATCACTGTTCCCAGGTATTGGTTGAAATGGGGTCTCAAAAACTTTTTGTCTGGGCTAGCTTTGAAATTGCAATCCTCCTGATCTCCAACTCTCAAGAAGCTAGAATTAGAAGCTTGAGCCACTGTGTCCAGCCTACATTCGTTGTTTCTAATCTTCACGTTAATGTTGCAAAGTAGATATTAGTATCTCTATTTTAAAAATAATGACATCAAGACTCAAAAAGTAACATGCCTAAGGTCATACAGCTAAAGTACTTTGTTATCACAAGGCTTGAAAAAAATTTTTATATTATGGATATTTGAAAATGCTTAAAATAGAGTAATATAAGGAAATATTTTAATAAACCTCCATATATCCATCACCTAGTTTCAATAGCTATGAATGGTTTGGGAGTTTTTTGTTTTTATTTGGAGGCTTATTTTTTGAGGTGAATGGGCAATTGATTGACAGGCACTTGAAACAAAATAGTTTTTCTTCTAATATTCTTAGATTAAGATTACTTCCCTAAAAAGGTACTTGTTTCTTTTTTATATTCTTAAATTACTTTCTTACTGTATTCAGTAAAAGAGTTACTTGACTGCTTGTATTTTCCATTGCAAAAGTGGACAAATACCTCTGTAACTAAATATTTCTGGTTTCCATACACTACTGGATACTCTGTTTTCCTCCCACACTTAGTTTGCAGTATGGACTCATTTGCCAAATTCTTCTAACATTGACTACAATCTGAGTTCTTCTCTTACTTTTTCTACCTTTTCATTCTCTACTCTTATCATTTAAAGAACAAACGGGGTAAATCAACTCTTCATAATTTAAAAATAATACATTCCATTTCTTCTTCTCCCCTGCTGAGATGTTTCTGTCATTTGTTCTACTTGCTTTTTCTTTTTCCTTCTTAGTTTTCAAAAGAAATATTGTCCTTTCTGACATCTCGTAACTACTCCATAAAAAAACCAAATGGGCAATATAATAATAGCTGCAGTTTATTTAATCTCATCTATGTCCCAGGTATGGTGCCAGGCTCTTTCTCTCATACTTCATTTAATTTATACAATAATCTTAGGAGGTTATTACTCCCCTCCCCCCATTTTTGTGATGCTAGGGCTTGAACTCAGGACTTCACACGCTAGGCAAGTGCTCTACCACTGAGGTATAGCTCCTGCCCTATTACCCCCATTTTTAAGATAAAGTAAATGAAGCTTAAAACGATTAAGAAGGTATTACTGATTGTGCCTCCAGAAATGAATCACTTCCCAAGTCTTTTCCTACTCCTTTAAGACTGGTTTCTGCTCTCTGATGGGCATAATTTATGTTGGGTTGTTTTGTTATTTTTTTCCTGGCAGCACTAGGGTTTGAACTCAGGGCCTCACACTTACTTGCTAGGCAGATTTTCTTACCGCTTGACCACTTGAACTTCCTGGACCAAGTCGTTGTTTGTTGTCTCCCCTCTTTTTTTTTGGGTAGTGGTACTGGTATTTGAACTCAGGGCCTCACACTTGCTAGGCAGGCGTTCTACCACTTGAGCTGGTCCACCAGCCCTCTGATGGTCATATTTTAAACAACAACAACAAAAAAATCCCTCCCATTTTATAGATGCTAAATTACACTGTCAAGTAGGGAGTGGATGACTGATGTAGGAGAGAGAATTTGAGTGATGAATTAGGTGACCTTGTAGGAGATTTGGAACATTAATTCTATAAAATTCTACCACTTGAATTTTAGTTAATTAACAGCAAAGAAGGGCTTGGGATGTGGCTCAGGTGGTAGACACCTGCCTAGCAAGCATAAGCTTTAAGTTCAAATACTAGTACTACCAAAAGAAATTTAAAATCAAAACAGCTGGGGTCATGGCTTAAGTGAAACTCTGAGTTCCATTTCCATTACCATTAGAGAGAGAGAAAGTCCTGGTGTGCATTCTCTCTCTCTCTCCAGTTTCATTATTAAAAGCAGCAGAATCTTTTTTAACAGAAATTTCTTTGTTTGTGTGTGTGTTTCCTCTGAGTTGATAGAATTTTAGAACTATTCTTAGACAACAATTAAAAATTGAAGCAGCAGGTTATGATATTAAGTACTAGAAAACTTAAAGAGTTAGAATAGTGTGCATCCTGGAGTAGAAAAAGGACATTAATGGAAAAACTGGTGAGATCCAAAGAAAATCTGTAGCTTATACTTTTGTATAAGCTTAGTTTTAATAGATATGCCGTGATAGTATGAAGTATTAATATTAGATATTGGATGAAGTGTGTATGGGAACTGTGGATGATTTGTAGCTCTTCTTTAAATCTAAACTCTTATGTAGATCTAAATTTTTCATAATAAAAAGTTAAAATGTATGCATCTTTATACACAGCAATATTATGAAGAAAAAGGAAATGAATACCATCAAAGTCCTCTGCAGAGGAGGGATATAATTGTGATTGGAGAAGGGTACATGAAAACCTCTTGAGGTGTTGGTAGCTTTTTGGGGGATGATTACACTGGTGTTTCCTTGAAATTTGTTAAACCATTCATGTTTCATGTGTTCTTTGGAATAGATGCTATATTCATAAGTAAAGGAATTAGAAGATAATATATATCTTTTTCATTTAGTAAGACAACTCAGTAGGGGAAAACATTTATTTGTCTTCCTTAATTAATTTAGAATTTTTTTTTTTTTTCTAATTCTTGTGGTTGTTATTTTATTTTTTCTTTTTTTTTTTTTTCATTTTTCTTTTATTATTCATATGTGCATACAAGGCTTGGTTTATTTCTCCCCCCTGCCCCCACCCCCTCCCTTATAATTTAGAATTTGTAATGAATTTTTGGGCCGGGGGAATGACAGTGAGGTTTCAGCTATGAACTGTTCCCTTTCTCATTCATCATGGATCTGTGTGATTTGTTTAGGTGGAAACATTGAAGCACAACGATCCTTTTGCTCCTGGTGGGACAGTTGTTGTTGCAGCAAGTGATTCAGGTATAGAAATTTATTTTATGGAATGTTAAATATTACCCTTTTCTTTGAGCTTTTTTCCCCATCCAAATATTGTTCCTACTAATTACAGATTTTAAATTATTGCATAATTATTTCCAATTGCAACCTTCCAGTAGTAATAGTGATAAGTATTTGTCTGTCTCTTCCTACTTTTCTTATTATTCATAATTCATGTTAAAGAGTATGTAGTCTATCCAATATCAGTAAAATCAACAAGAATTTTTTTGCTTTATTAAAGGTAGTGTTGCTTGGCATCTTCAAAGTCAGCATTGACTCTTACGGATCTTGGCCTAGTTTAAAGATGAGTGGCTTCTGATCGATGAGGGAAATTGTTTTACAAATACGAAGGAATTCTGTAATAATACAGAGAAAAACTAAATGTTATTCTAGCATCCAATCTTCTTGCTCCATTTATAGTATATCTTTTTTCATTTATTCTTTTAATAACCTTTTATGTAATACTCCCATTTTAAACATCAGGACACTAAGGCTCAGAACATTAACTTGATAAAGATTATATCATTTACTGGGTTCAAACCAACTGAATCAGTTTATCATAATCAAATCTAGGTCTGATGGAGTCTGGAAGCTTTTTTTCAACTAAGTAACTCTGCTTCTTTCACACTATTCATTTAAAAATAAAACAGATGAGTAAAAGTCAAAACAAAGGACGGGAAGGTAGTAGATGGAATTGACATATTCCTCCTGGAGGGATCCCCTCCTAGAGGGTCTAGAGCAATTTCTGGAAGCAAACGAAGGGATTCTGATGTCCCAAAAAATAGAAATATATTTTTTAAAAAAAGATGAGAAAAGAAAGAAAAGAAAAAAACAAAAATAATAAATAAAACATGAAAAAACAGATGAACAGACTAGCTACTGTGTGAGAGAACAAGAAATTAGAGGAAAGTAAACTCAAACATGTATACTTCGATGTCATGCTGCAAAACAGAATACTTTGTTTTTCCAGATTGCTGAAAAGAATTATGAGCATAGAAAAAAAATAGTAAAAATGCCTTAGTAACTTGGATTCTTATTGAACAAATTTTAATATGATGAGATTTAGCACAGTGTGTTATATGTTTTCAGGTTGGAAATTAACTCCCAACATGAGTAGCAAGAGTAAGGAATGAAAAAGGCTGTTTTCTTGTAGGAAACAAGATTAATGTAATGCTGAGTATTAATTTTAACCAAAACTTAGAGCAAATGAGACTTCCAAAAGATTTGTTGTATTAGCAGTTGTTAAATTATGTCTTTTATACTCTGGAGTTAGTAGGTATAGGTAAGAACTTTCTCAATGAAACCCCAGCAGCACAGCAACTAAGAGATAGCATAGATAAATGGGACCTCATAAAACTAAAAAGCTTCTGTTCATCAAAAGAAATGGTCTCTAAACTGAAGAGAACACCCACAGAGTGGGAGAAAATATTTGCCAACTATACATCAGACAAAGGACTGATAACCAGAATATACAGGGAACTTAAAAAACTAAATTCTCCCAAAACTAATGAACCAATAAAGAAATGGGCACGTGAACTAAACAGAACTTTCTCAAAAGAAGAAATTCAAATGGCCAGAAAACACATGAAAAAATGCTCACCATCTCTAGCAATAAAGGAAATGCAAATTAAAACCACGCTAAGATTCCACCTCACCCCTGTTAGAATAGCCATCATCAGCAACACCACCACCAACAGGTGTTGGCGAGGATGCGGGGAAAAAGGAACCCTCTTACACTGTTGTGGGAATGTAGACTAGTACAACCACTCTGGAAAAAAATTTGGAGGCTACTTAAAAAGCTGGACATCGATCTACCATTTGATCCAGCAATACCACTCTTGGGGATATACCCAAAAGACTGTTACTCCAGAGGCACCTGCACACCCATGTTTATTGCGGCACTATTCACAATAGCCAAGTTATGGAAACAGCCAAGATGCCCCACACTGACGAATGGATTAAGAAAATGTGGTATCTATACACAATGGAATTTTATGCAGCCATGAAGAAGAACGAAATGTTATCATTCGCTGGTAAATGGATGGAATTGGAGAACATCATTCTGAGTGAGGTTAGCCTGGCCCAAAAGACCAAAAATCGTATGTTCTCCCTCATATGTGGACATTAGATCAAGGGCAAACACAACAAGGGGATTGGACTATGAGCACATGATAAAAGCGAGAGCACACAAGGGAGGGTGAGGATAGGTAAGACACCTAAAAAATTAGCTAGCATTTGTTGCCCTTAACGCAGAGAAACTAAAGCAGATACCTTAAAAGCAACTGAGGCCAATAGGAAAAGGGGAACAGGTACTAGAGAAAAGGTTAGATCAAAAAGAATTAACCTAGAAGGTAACACCCACGCACAGGAAATCAATGTGAGTCAACTCCCTGTATAGCTATCCTTATCTCAACCAGCAAAAACCCTTGTTCCTTTCTATTATTGCTTATACTCTCTCTACAACAAAATTAGAAATAAGGGCAAAATAGTTTCTGCTGGGTTTTGGGGGGGGAGAGGGAGGGGGTGGAGTGGGTGGTAAGGGAGGGGGTGGGGGCAGGTGGAAGAAATGAACCAAGCCTTGTATGCACATATGAATAATTAAAAAAAAAAAAAAAAAAACCAGCCTGGGCAAATAGTTCAAGAGACCCTATCTCGACAATACCCAACACAAAAGCCAGGCCTAGAGGAGTGACTTAAAATAGTAGAGTGCCTGCCTGGGAAGTGTGAGGCCCTGAGTTCAAACCCCAGTACTGCCAAAAAATAAGAGAAGATTTAAAGGAAAGGGAAGATGACATTAAGGATGAGGAGATGACATTAAGGATAAATCATGAGTGATTTCAGAGCCAAGCATAGCTTTTTTTTTTTTTTTTTTTTTTTTGGTAAATCTTAAAAGATTGGGCTGGGATTTTAGTAAGTAGATATGGAAAGAGTAAACTGAGCAAAGAGTGGAGGCAGGAAATAAAGAATATGTTTAAGGATAAATAGATATTTGACAAGAGCTAGTTTATGGATAGTTAAGGTTAAAATAGTTACCATTTTGAGCACTTACAGAATTCCAGCTCTCGATGTGCTAGCCATTTTCCTGTAGTTTGACTCATTTAATTTTCACAACTACATGAGATAATTGGTTTTAGGTTTATTGTATTGATATGGAAAATCAAGGCAGCATTAAATAAAGCAAATTTCCATGAGGTTAAAGAAGTAGTAATAGATGGATCCACATTCCATTGAGGGCTCTGGTTTTCCACTTGTTTCTCTCTGCCTCTTTGGTCATTCTTTTTCAGTCTCCTTTGCTGATTCTTCTTTTCCCAATATCTTAATGTTGTATGTCCCAGGCCTTAGTCCCTGACCTTTTTCTTCTCTATTTGTACTACCTTGAGTCTGGTTTCATGGCTTCAAATACTATCTATCTGCTAATTTATCTCTATCCACATCTTTTTCCTGAACTCTAGTCTCATATATCCAACTATCTATTTGATATTTCTGTTTGAATATATCTGACACATCTAACACCATCTTATTCAGTGATACCGATTTCTCCATGTACTTCATGTAACTGGGATCATAAAGTATTAATCCCTTTTTTGACTCACTTACTTTAATTAACATAATGTTTCAAGGTTCATCCCTATTGTAGCATGTATCAGGATTTTTTTCCTTTTTAAGATTGAATAATATTCTATTATATGTGTATTCTACATGTTGTTTATTTATTTGATTTTTTTTTTTGGTACTGAAGCTTGAACTCAGAGCCACTCAGAGCTCTGAGAGCTCTCACTGAGAGCTTTTTCTGTGATGGGGTTTTTCAAGATAGGGTCTCATGAACTATTTGCCCAAGCTGGCTTTGAACCACGATCCTCCTGAATAACTAGGATTGCAGGTGTGAGCCACCAGTGCCCAGATCATCTGATAATTAACACTTGAATTGTTTCCTTGCTTTGTCTACATGAGTAATGCTGCTACGAACATGAGTGTACAAATATCTGTTTTGAGTCCATTTTTCATTTTTTGTTCTGCTAGAATTTGAGAAATAGAATTGTTGGTTTATACAGTAATTCTCTTTCTAATTTTTTTAAAAAACTGAACAAAAGATTTAATAAACAAATCTTTCTAATTTTTTGGCAAACTACCATACTGTTTTCCCTCAGCAGTTGTAACATTTAAATTCCTAAAAATAGTGCACCAGGGTTCCAGTTTCTCCACACCCTTGTCAACATATTACTACTTTCTGTTCTCGAGTAATAGCCATTTTAGGAGATGTGAGGTGGTATCTCATTGATTTGTTTTGTATTTCCATAGTACTGTCTGTTCAAGTCCTTTGCTCCTTTTTAAATTGGGTTGTTTGGACTTTTTGTTTTTGAATTGTAAGAGTTTTTATATTATTAAAAAACCCCTGTCAGATACATGATGAGCAAATATTTTCTCCCATTCCGTAGGTTACCGTTTTATTCTGTTGATACTGTCCATTGGTGCACAAAAATACTTAATATTGATGCAGTAAATTTTATCTGTTTTTTTAATGCTTGTGCTTTTAGTGTTAAAACCAAGAAGGTATTGCTAAATCCAATGTCATGGATTTTTTTGTTTGTTTGCTTCTTATCTTTATGATCATATTATATAGCTATCACTTTATAGTAACTTGTTATAATTTAAAGTCTTTTGCAAATCTCATAAGCTTAAAAAGTCTTTTTAATTCTAAAAAGTATATAATAGATAACTGAAAATAAAAGGCTGAGAATTAAAACATACCATTAGAATAGACTACTTAGCTACAAGGTAGACTGTAAGAGTAAAAGTAAGAAAGGCACTAGTAAAATTAGAAAACAAGTTACAAAATAGCTATAGTAAGACCTTACCTATCAATTATTTTAATATAAATGGATTAAATTCTCCAATTAAAAGACATATAGAGTGATTAAACAGATTTTTTAAAAAGGACAAAAGAAAAAAGAACACCACAACAGACCTAGCTTGCATGTTGCTTA